AAAACAAAAATATAAAATACAATGAACAGCTGAAATTGAATACTTTAACTAATTGGCATAACATTCAGTTAAACTCGGAAATTTTCAGCTTATATTATCAATAGAAATCTAATTATTATCATCAATATAAATCAATTAGTTAACTAATAGATAGTGTAGATGTTTATGGACTTTCTGGTAATGATTATGGTACATAATTAAGAAAAAAAAGGTTTAATAATATAGATAACAATCATCCATGATATAATTCATTTGATGACACTACATTTATATACAACTATGAAACACTTAGTAACATGATGAGAAGTTTGTAATTATTCTATTTTTTCGGATTAACTCAATGGTACATTGTTGAGATGTCATAAAGATTCTTAATTCACAGTTCTAATTTGACAGTTTAATCATTGATTTAAAAATTTAGACATTTACTTATTTTGTATTTAGAATAACATTGATATAATGAAAATTGTTGATGTCAAATCAACATTTTGTCAAGTAATTAAAGTGTGGTAGTGGTAATGGCCAGTTTTTCAACGTGTACTGTTCGATACTGAAATCGACACGTAACTTCTTTATATGGACAGGCGTAATCGGCTACATTAGTTAAAAGGAGACTTTATAAGTTGACCAAATCGGTATATATATATATATATATATATATATATATATATATATATATATATATATATATATATATATATATAACCACTAATGGTAGTTTTTATTCCTTACAAATTAAAGTCATATCTAGGTTAATCAAGTGCAGTAATTATTTGACAGATCTCTGATTGGCCTAACGTACCAATCAATTGTCATAACACGGAATTATTATTTCGTTGTACTTACTTCAGCTTGGGGTCTGTTTATTAGCATTGTTAACCATAATATACACAAAAAAGAGCGGCTTAGAGAGTATCTGTACTTGCTAAATAAATTCACTGAATATTTAAGAGAGATTTGCAAAATAACCTCCAATTATTCGCTAGGAATATTTATTTTTGATCACTAAAAGACAGAAGAATATAACATTGATCTAATTCACTTTGATTTGGAATCAACAAATTTTTTTAAAAACAAGTACAATCCAAAACATTTAGTACCAAACTGTAAAGTTATCTCATCTCTTTACAGTTTACAGTCAATTTTCTTTAACTTTATTAAGTTGTCTGATAAAATTTTCGCATTAAAGATTACAATAAAGAATTGTTCGCAGTACATATTATATAATCATGCCATTGAATTAGTTAATTTGTTACTTAATGCCTCAAGCGAAATAATCACTTATTAACAATAAAAATATTCTTATTTTCCTTTGTAAATCATACATTTATATTTGGAAAATTTTTGAGAATTTTATACTACTGAATGTAACAAGTAGTTACGTATTGTCAAGTGGTTGAAATATGTGAAAAGGATTATGGCACTTCCGAAATTACTCAATTTATTAACAACTGCTCAATGATACATACATATTTCCCATGATAACAACACTAAGTTTTGTCATCACGTAACATTTTACGCATAAATTATTAAATATGACTGACAATGAATTGCTACATTTCATGTTGATGCTAGTTTCTAGTAAAATGATATATATATATATATATATATATATATATATATATATATATATATATATATATATAGACTATGGATCAAGCTAATGTATATAACATAAGAATCTTAATATGAGTTAGAGAAAGAATTTCAGTCAATCGACAAAATCGTCTGTCTGGAAAAATATGAAATAGGGTTTTGTGACTACACTCATTTACTGATTTCTAAAATCAAACATTAATCAGATAAGATATAGTCAAGTTAAATATCGTAATCAACTTTATGGCTGAAGCATTTAATATTCAGTGAGCCTGGTTTTTTCATGAGCAGGACGTTAAATAATCAGCCTGTGTTAATGTAGGATAATAAGTAGATAAAATAATAAAATTATTGATGACCAATTGTTCGCATGGTTGAAGTAAAACAGACCACTTCCGCATATGTCTGTACTCAGAACGCCATCTGAACAATTATACAAAACCACTAAAAAACAGGTTATATATATGGCAATTACTGTTTCCACTTATCGACAAAATATCTAGCTGGGAATATACTTTTACACGTCCTTAAAGACGTCTACAAAATTAAGAAGGGCTTACATGGAGAAAATTAAAAAAGGTGATTATTCTTGAAAATCATTGTATTTTTACACTTTTGTATATATTCTTATCCTTCTTTCGTCAAAACTGAGACATGGAAGGCGTAAAATCTTGATGACTCAAGAAAGTTAACAATATAAGCTAAACTTTCTTCCTACATAATTCATTCCAACAAAGTTGAAAAAATTGTTCAAGATAGGGTCTATTTGTTCCTGATGAGAAGAAACTGGCAATAAATTTGGTTTTGGTTAAAAAATTTCTTGATGTATAACCGCAGGTTCTATTTCATCAGAGTGATCCTGAGGAAATGTAATAAAATTTACTAAATCCAGACGATCCTACACCAAGTCAAGATTAATGTGTATGGATTTAGAATTACAAATGGCAAACTTATTTATAAGACCATTAGTAGAACGTACTCTCTCTACTTTCATTCACAAAATTTTAAATAGATTCAAGACTAATGTATAAAATACAGTCTAATCGGCACAATAATTTATCATACCTGAACCTAATACTGTACTTACTTTGACTGTAGAACATTCAGCTTATATCACCAAAGCTCATAATGTTGAAAACAAAATTTTAATAGTCCATTTTCAACCCTGAATAAATGTGAGCTCGTCATAGTCTAACACGTTTCATAAGTTCAGTGTGAATATCTTTATAACCAACGTATGTGTATCTAAAAATTCAGATTTTTTGGGGGATAAAATAGAATTCATATACGATAAATAAACAACTGCCTAGTTCCCGACTGACGCAACTAAACACAAGAAAAATAACGAAAACCAAATAACTCATGCGGATTAATAAGCGGAAGGAATAAACTAGACAGTAATTATTTGGATAATGACTTAGTTGATTAATCCAACTAATCATTAAAGTGTGCATCTAACAAACCTTGGTCTATCATGTGACTTTATTAACTCCACTTGCTTTGTATGGAGTTTAGTTTATTATAAAAATGTGAATTCTATTGAGCTAGATAACAGAAAGATGGTTAATTTTTACTGACTTCATTGGCGCTACATATGACTAATGCAGTTCATACTGCTGAGACAGTTTAGTAAAATGTGTTTCATTTTGTACCAACCACTAAATGAATTGAACCAAAGAAACGTGAGTAATCAGCTTGAATTTCTTGAAGCTTCGTTAGTAAGTAAGTTTTATTTGGTATTGAGTAACCATAGTTTGAGAGTTATCTTACCATAATTCAAAACCGAATTATGCAAATTAAAGTATATAGACGTTTATGGAAGAAATTTCCAACATGTAGTTCGACCTAAAATAGACTAATACATTCAGGATTGTCTATTCAACTTCCTAGAATACGGGTCTTTATCCTTTCAATAATAGATCGACTAAGTATTCTTTTAACTCTACTTCAAATTCATTCGACGTTTAGTATAATATGTGGATGACATAGAGAATTTAGTATAAAATTTTGTTACAGCTTCACAAATTAGCTAAACCTCGGTTGGTCCCTAAATGATAAACATTGGGAAGGGATCATTCTCAGTTGCATGATAGCTTTATCCGCATAAACAAAAAATATCGGTGAGGACTAACTGTTGAATTGACTTAATCTAATCAAGAGAAGAGCAACAAACAGTGCTCTTGTACTGGACACTACTCTCAAGATTGTTATTAAGTAATGTGTAGCGAAACGTGACGTCGAAGTTGCAAGAGTTGTCAAATCGAGTGAAGAGTTTCAGTAAATCGGAAGCACGAAGTTAGGAGGACATTTGAAGGCCAGATGAGAAGATGGTTCAGACTGCAGAACACACCGAAAGATGCAAACGTATGATTGAATATTATGCATATCTATTAAGCAAATACTTTTTAACTTCCAGACGCTATTATACGTTCCTCCTATCTATTATCGTGTTTTACACTAATTTCATATTACTTTAAAAACACGGTTCAATTTACAAGCCAATTAAAATGATTTTCTTAGGATTAAGTTTACAAATTGGCTTTGCCGAACTACATATTCTTATAACGGAGTATCGGTACAGCTCCTCATTCCAAAAAAGTATGTGTTAGAACAAACGTTGTTTCTAATTAGAATAGTTTTATCAATTTTAACCAATATCGACAGGCTACAGCTCCTTAGAATTAATCGTACTTTCAGAGCTAATGTCCATGACTGAAGAAGGGAAATCTATTGGCATGTAATAAAGTCTCAAAAGAAAAATATTAGGAACACTTTATGAATCGGAAATGAAACTGAACAATTTTGCACAACTACCAACAAAAACGAACAGTTGGATTTTATCGAAGTAAACCTGAATTCAATTAAGGGATGAGTATACTACACAATAGATCGTTCTGTTCTACTTTACGGCTGCAAAACGTGGTCATTAGGGGAGAAGATATTCGTAAGCTACTAGTATTTGATCACAGATGTCTTAGAAATATTGCTCGCATCTGCTGGGATCACTGGGTAAGTAATAATGAGGTTAAACCTAGGGTATTATGGAATGATGGTAAATCAGTTGATGATGTTGTGAATCTTCATCGTCGGAGATGATTGGGCCACGTGTTACGTATGCTTGAACACCGATTACCACGACGCGCAATGCTGACTAGTGTTGGAGATGGTTGGAGGAAAGTTAAGGGTGGCCAAACCAAAACGTGGCATCAGTGCTTGAAGTCACCAATTTCTAGTCTTAGCCATGTTGATAGATGCAGACTACTTGGTTGGCGTCCGCGTGATTGTCGTAACCAATGGTTGAAGACTCTGAGTGGCAGGCCTCAAAATTGATCACAATGGCGTAGGTGTATACACGCTTTGTTTTCCCTTAAACCGTGAGATTAAAATGATATATAACTGATCTGTTTATATTGAAAGCAATCTATTTTACGAACAAAACATTCCATAAATACATATTTACACCTTTATAAGTAATAAATATAAAGTCAGTCTGTTTGCAGATAATTAACAACAAAATGAAATGTAGAGATAATAATAATAATATTAATAATAATAATCAAATAAGCATTGAAGACAATAGTAATAGATTGACTTGATCATTCCTAGCTAAAATATTTTAGACAACAAATAACGACACATTAACGTGAAAATGAGATAAAGAGAAAATTATTACTTTGAAAAAACGAAAATTAATCATTGTCAATATGAAAACGTAAGTAGACAGGTAGTTGGTATCTTACATATGTGTAAAGTGTATTTACAAAGTGTAAAAGGTATAACCATACACACATGACATCATATCACGAAAAAGAAAACCACTATAATACTGAAGTCAACGAATTATTGCAGCAAAAGAATAGATTTCAAGGATTTATATACTAAACATTTCCAATGTGAATTTGCCAAGCCAATAAGAGACCGTCAAAACCAGTTGAAAAGAGATTGTGAACACCTTCATTTGCCCATGCAACACAAGTTACCATACGAGAATGACCCTGTACATCAAGAAATGTTTTAAACACAAAATATTAATAATTACAACAAATTTCGAAATATCGTTTTTATTATACAATATTTTTGTAGCCAACTGATAAATGAATGTTTGTAATATTACATGTCAGTTGAAATTTCAAAATTCTATTTTTACGAAGAATTATCAAAATATCAACAATACTGTTAAAGCAATACTCAAATAAAGATATGTGTACAATACAACGAATATATGATAAACTAGGCAACATAATTAATCATTTTATTTGATTGATCAAACCTGAACAAATACAGTGGACCTCGAACATATTAACTACCAGTTAGTTTAATAAAAATCCCAAAAGTATTGATTGTTAAACATGACATTAGAGAAATTACTTGCTTTCATTTTCAAAAGTGCTTAGAAAGTGACTACTAATATTTATCATAATCTATTTCGTTGACCATAAATAATATACTGAATCCCTCAGACATAAACTATTTGGGAATTCGTTCAGCAATATTAATCCATACTATGCTAACTACCATTAGAGTCAGACTAACACTTAGACGAGTCTTTTAGAGCCTCAGTTCAGAGAACATACAACACTGAACATCTGATGAAACTTTACCCAGACAATTACATATGTTTGACCACCGCTTGGACCAATGTGTAATACAATCTGACAAAAGTAGGTTAGGAAGAGGTTAAACGTGGCCAGACCAAAAAATGGCATTGATACATAAAGACACTAACTGACGATCTGGGCTATGTCGATAAGTGGAGATTTCTTGGTTAAGACCTATGGTACTCGTAATTAACAGATTTTGGTTAGGCAACGTGGGGTAAAATTAATCATAATGGTTTAAATAAAATCATCTGCTACATTTCTTTAAATCTCCAGTTAATCCATTCCTGATATTTTATTCATCAATCTGGTTCTCTTAAACTTTGCTTCACGATGTCCAGACTTCAACTGTTTTCGATGCTATTTCTAATCTTATGGTTTTCACCTTTTTGATTTCTTCTTGCTGTGCTGATTTAAAGTGTCACAAATTGGATCGGCTAACATTAGTGTTAGGTTTTATGTTAAAGATAGCTGACAACAATAATTACTTTCAACTTACTGCATTCATTCTACACTAATTAAAAACGGATAGGATCTAAAATAGTTCAACTGATATCAGTTTTTAAAAAACATGATAAATGTAGGCTGTTAATTGGAAACATTAACAAAGCTTTAGTAAACAATATAAGATGAAACTTTTCAAAAGATCCATGTCCTCGAAGTTTTGCAGCAAAAACGATAAGAATAACAATATAACAAGAAATTAGTTGAACAAGCTATAATAACAACATTTGGAAGGAAATTACAGACGCTAATCAATAAAAGGAATACTACTCCTTCGTATACGCAAATAATCGAAACTCACGTGTGACGATCTAGTTAACCGACCGATTCTGTTGCCATTTACATCAAGCAGCTTTATTCCTCGATTGACCAGCGGTAGAGCAATATACTTGGGGTAACTGGAAGGACAAGGACTGTGAACTGAAGTACTTAACACAGACCCGTGTTGAGCAGTTTGAGATGGAGCTTCACTGGAAGACGATCCAATTACAGTTGAAGTAGGATTAATTGTTTCTGTTGGCTGATATGATACACTTGATCCATAACCAGACAAACCCAAGCGATTGATTGCTGCATCGGTTCTAATGCTAACAACTGGACCACGGCTTTGTCTCAAGTCCCAAATACGACAAAACCTATCAGCACCAGCGCTTATAAGACGTTCAGGGGAACCAGGTGCCAAAAATTGTGTGGTTGAAACTGTTCTGTTGTTTTATAAAAAGTATGAAAATATGAAAAGAAAACCAAAAAACAACAACATAAAAAATGAAGTCAAGTAAATTAAATCAACTATACAGAGTATGCATTTGAAATATAAAAGATAACTTACTGACTATGGGCCTGTTGAACATGAACCCGCATTCCTGGTTGACGAAAATCCCACAAACGAAATGTACAATCCCTTGACGATGTGACAACAACAGGAAATCCACCTGGTTCACAACGTACATCTGTCAAATGATCATCATGTCCCGTAAGTGATTCTAGCTCTTGTCCAGTTGCAAGATCATATGTTCTACCTAAACGATCCCACGATGCTGTCACTAACTGTTCCCGTCCGTAAACAAAATCGGCAGCAGATAAAGGTGATGAGTCGATAACATTGCATCCTGAAGCAGCAGTAGAGTTCCCAACTGTACCAGATGATGATAAACATAAGTTTGCAGACTGAAATATTGCATGAGGATGTCGAACAGCGATAGGTGGAATAGCTGCAATGCGAACTGGAGGATCTTCACCATTAAATAATTGGAACAACAAAAAATATTTAAATTCAATTAACGAAGAAAAAGTAATTTTATGCAATACACTTGGATGAGATTGAAAATAAAATAAAAATAAGATTAGTTAATAGATTTACCTTCTTCTGTAGAACCAACTAATAAATTCATCGTTTCATCTGAATCATACAAACCAACCGGATCAATCCCTGACTTGATAGCAGTTCCTACATTTTAAAAGATAGTTATAAAAGGATATTACGTTATCTAAAATGTACAAATTGAACATCTTAAAAACTATTTGGCTGAACAACTTAAGCCTATAGCTAAAAGCTAATTATTTGGTAGACTCTAGACACTATTTGAACTTACCAACTAGAAACAAACGTAGATTAGAATGTGACGGCCCTCTGACGATAAGATCAATCCACACAATCCGAAGATTTTTGGAGTATAACATTCCACACTACTCATAAAGGTAACAGTAGTTTTAAGTCTTAAGACTAATTTGATTGGTTGTTACAGTCAAAATATAGCCGACACAGATAATGGACATTTAGGATATTTTATTTTTTTTTCGAGTCAGTCATGCTAAAAAAAAATAGGCTCAAAATTCAAGTTATATTATCAGTGCTTCAAATACAGGAAATCTTAGTTTTAACCTACAAAAATTCAGCGTACCAATGAATCTGTACACATCGTAGTATTATGCTGGAAGGAACAATAAATTGGAAGTGTGAATAACACAAGTATGCAAGACTATATCTCTACTTATCATGAAAACTAAAATAACCAAATAATTATGTGAACTGACTGACCACCTTTAAATAACGTTATGACAGTCAAAATAAAACATTTAGAATATGTACCACAAATATCCAAACAATGTTTAATAAGTTCATCTAAGTAGCTGCATATTTGAAGTAGATTAAACAATCTGTAAGCTGAATTAGTTTGAGAATATTATTAATAACCTTCGCCTCAAATGTAGCAATAAATGAGATCATCAAGAAAGACGTACTTGATATGATAGTTGTGAAGGGATGAAAGAAGTACACTTCTGTCTAGAGTGAACATTCATTAAATTGTTTAAACAATCAAAGCCTCCTAAGAGCACCACAAAACTAATACTATTATTATCATTCAGTTATTGTTTAGCGTAAAACAAGATTCCAACTATAAAAATATCACGAACCTGAAATTGTACACATTCCCAAACCCATAGGACTTGTTCCAGCAGTTTCTGAAGCAAGAGCCGAGGCAACGGCATCCAATGCAGCCCCTGATGTGTTTCCACTTGTAAGTGAAGTTGCAGCTTTAGTTATTAAATCAAATGGCAAACGAATAAGATGGGCAGTTCCATCTCCACTAGATGTTAACATTAAACTGTCTTTATTTCGAAATCGAACAGAGTTCACTGAACCTGAATGACCCATATAGACTAATAGACAACTATAATACATAATTTTTAAAAAATGAAGAGAAAAATTTCGTTATCAGATCACATAAATATTTGTAATAAAAAAAATGAATATATTTATATAAAGTTATCAGAGTCATGATGATGAAACCCTAATATAATGTTGTTCGAATAAAAAGTGAAAGTTAATACCTTAAACTGGGGTGATTTTTGTCAGAATGATTAAGAGTTAAAAATATTATCTATCTGCGAAGATTAAAACTCATGAAATGACCTTTCAATGTATACCTAGCATCTGAATATTAAATGACTTATTAAATCAGTGACACCATAGAATAAATGTAAAATATTTTCAAATATCTGAGTGCATATAATAAAATTATACATAAAATTCGGAAACACTAGTGACTTTAGGTTACCGATACATCTGATAACTCTAGGGAGAACATTCTATTAAGTATCTATACTTAGTGATTAGATATTCGTACATAATCTTAAGATTAAACATAGTTCCTGTAGTTGGCAATTGATGATATTAGATTGTATGTATCAAGAAAAACAGAACTGTCAGTATAGGGTTGCGGAGGTTGTCGGATTTCATTAAGATCACGAATCAACCTATGATAACCAGTAAAAGTCTGGAAGCACTGTGCAGCCATTTCGTTCTACTATGGGGCTCCTTAACAGTGTGCATTCACGACCCCGTAACCGAGAAAAGAACCTAGAACCATTTCGAGTGTGAAAAACATACCCAGCGAGAACAATGAAAGATGGTTGGACAATATCATGGATTGAGTGAAGCTAGAATTGTACATCATTAGGTATTGCTAAGTGGTTCGTCCACAAGGTCGAGGGTTTTAGGTTTGATTCCTAGTTGTGGGGTCGTGGATGACCACTACTGAGCCCCATACTAAAATACACTAATATAAGAAGTAACTTAAACAATGAACGATTCACAACATATTGTAGTGTTTTCCCTACAACCAAAACCATATGCAACATTAACTAGATCATTGATATCCATCAACTTGTCAATATTTACATTTGAAAACTTAAATTACTAATTAATTTAACTGTTTGTTTACGCACTTGCTTACTTGCACATAATTCTAAAAATGAACGTTATTCCTTTCGACTAACCCATGAATCATATTCGATCAAATTCAGGCTAGTTGATTTCTAAACTCAAACTTGGAACCGATTTGTATTGTCGAAGGATTCGATAATGAAATAGACATAAGTAGAAAAGTTTCAGTTCTTCACCCAATCATATAGTACTATGCCCTATACGTCTATACACAATACCATATTACACAAATTAGAAATTGCAAAGTAACAATTAGTGGAATATTATTAAATGATTGATTTATACAATAGATGTATTTAAGGTTAAACATAATCACTATATCTTATTACTTTAATTGACCATCGTTAATCCAAAGACGAGCAGTATTGTCAGCAGATGCAGTTGCAATAAACCTCCTGAACGAAGTAACCTCCCATATACCATCTCGATGTCCAACCACTCGATTCATCAACTGGAAATTTCCATTGTGTCCTGAAAAGCTTCCAGCAAAAATGGCTGTCCCATGTCCAGTTGTGCTACCACCACTAGGCAAAGCGATATTCCCTGAGTAATTTAACGAACTATTGACAGCAACAGAAAGAGTATTTGAAGTTACACCAACACAAGTTGTAGCTGTTATTCCTGGTTGGGCAACCGAATATGTGCATCCTTGACCTATATTACTGGAAGAATGACCAGTAGATTGACGAAGACTTGAAACTAGACGAGATGTGGATTGTTTATATTGTTGTTTGATACGCTGTGACAGCATACTTGCCCCCACTATGTAAGAAGTGGACAAAAGTATTAACATGAAGTTTTAAAAATTAACGACTGAAACTACAAAGAATCTTTGAAAAAGGGAATAAATCTCCTGACATAAAAGTGAATCTTCGATAAACAAAACTCTAGGTCTACAAGATTTATATTTTAAAAAGGTTTGGTGTAATTAGCTATTCTAATGTATATTCACTGGACCTTTACCTATTTTTACCATAGTGTAAATGTTTGCTTGCTAAACCACCATAAATTACGGCGATCTTGTGAGCAACAAGCTAAATATTACTGGTGAATATTCTAGTCTTTTACTATTTTATTCAAGGTTAGACGTTTATTAAAAGCTTATTGCGTTTGTAACTTGACAGTCGATCAACATATTTACGAAGATTTCGTGTACTAACTAATAGAGTAAAAGAACAAATGGATGAAATTTCAAAGAGTAAGTTACCAAAACAAAAGACTGGAATGCGTACTCAACCAGAGATGAAACTACTTTCCAGTATAACTATTCAGATTTACAATCATTAAGAAACAATGGTACATGAATTGTCGAGGAAGACAAGGTTGACTGATCTCTGAAATTTCGATCAAATATATCACCTAGTTTGACAATGAATGGCTTCATCGTTAGGCACCAATCTAATATATTTTTAAATCAACGATACAGCAATTCACTTAAGTAATTTATTACTCTAATAATTTACAAGGTACTTGGGCGTGAGCCACACTCGAAATATGAGGTCTAATGACACTATCTGGCTGCCCGAACCGACATAATAAAAAGCCTACTTAACTACCATGAAAAGTAGAGAAATGAAAGAAGATACTTAATGAATTTATTTCGAAAAAATGGCTATCCACAAAATTTCATCAAAGAATGTTTATGGAACCGACGGTCAACACACAACCAACAACAAAGATCAGCGGACGAATAGTTTTACACTACATGAAGAACATCTCTGGGATCAATAACAGATTATTAGGACGAATAAGAACAGGTGTAGCCTATAAGCAAATAAAATAGTTGCAAATAATTTTATGCACACTCTTATATCTTTAACTTATACGACTACCGCGAATATGATTGCCAAATTTAGATACGCAGACTTATACGACCAACAGATGATACATACACCTGAACGAACGGCCTAGAGCCCCGACTGATCCTTTTCCTTGCCTGTTAAATCCAGAACACATATCTCAGCCTCCACGATATAAATCATATGTTCCAAACATATTCTGTTTATACACGAGCCAAACAGGCCACATCACACCAGAAATAGAAAATAACATTTGCACAAGGCCAAGCCAAAATGTGACTGTGATTGTGGGAAACTGTGATTAATAAAATAGGCATAACTTAAGGATAGTGAATTGTATGGTAATAGTCTGTATGTCAAAATAAAGCTTATAATAAGAGAAATGTGAATATACGTAGTTTAGTTGCTTAACAATTATACAATAAAAATATATGTATAGTAATAGTCTATAAGTAGATCGCAACAGTTACCACTCATTATACGTGTCGGGATATAACACAAACCAAAGAACATAACCACTAACTGAGACAAGCCAAAGATCATATACGAGACAAATTGCTACAACTGTGACAAACATTATGTAGGACGAAGTAACTGTTCTCTTCGTCTACGTCTATACGAACACCAGTTATTTGTTAAACGATGCAACATAGCTTCGCTGATATCAATTGACGTGTGGGCGAAGACGATAATGATTGGTTGTTTGCTTAGTCAGACTTGTAGATAGTCTGACAGTTGCTAGATGAGTTATATATTCTCTCACCCTTATTATTATTGTATTGTTGTTGGATTGTGTTGGGTTGTTGTCGGTTTTGGGTGTGGAAATATATTTACGTTTTAGTCAGGCTAATCACATGTTCTTGATCTGAGTTCTACTGAAGCCCTGTAGAATAGACACTGAAAGGGAATCTAGTGTAGATATTCGTCTAAAGCAAATTAACGTCCCATTCGTGTAGACGTGGAAAACGGAGCGTTATAACATTAATGTATGTAGATAACTGTGAACATGAGTTCGATCAAGAGAACGTGGAAGTATTTGACAAAGTAAATATTAAAAATCCAGGGAATTTTTAAAGGCTTGGCACTCCAACCAAGCATCAATCAGCAGACAAATCGAAATTAGCCAAATCTATCAGTCAATAGGAAAAGTTATCAACAACCGTAAGGTCATATTTCAGGTCAGGAAAGAAAAAAGTTAAAGAAAAGAGATAAGAAAAGATTATACAGTCATGGATAACAAGTAACTAAATTTTCAGGTCAACATAACAAGCTGTTATCCCGTCGTAGAGAAATTCTAATAGCTCACTTCTCTTTGAAGTATGTGTTATGTTGATCAGAAGAAAAATGAAAGCTTAACAAACCATTCCACCCAACTTATAGACAACAACATCTTCAATAGATGCTCTCACATGGCCACGCGTATATAGCCTCTGCCAGGGAAGTCCTACTCACTGCCTTCTCGTGGCGGGGGTGTTGTTTACGAAAATGAGAGGACGAAAAGCGAATGTCCGGTGCTTTAACCGGATCCCAAATCAATGGTGCACATGGGCTCCAGTATTCTGAGGGAACAAATGGCGTATGAAACAATCGTTGGTCACCGGCTACCATGGGACTACATCTCCTCACGATGCTCCACTGCCTTGTGGGTCAGACGTTCAGGTCAAAGGCTCGGGGTGTGGCCCCCTAAGAAAACCACCTGCTTCGGTTTGGGCGCCCGGGCAGTATCACAGCCCTCACACAAATCAATTGAGATTCGTGTGGCGCATATGTATTTGGTGCCTCCTTGTACCAATACCTATGTGTTAAAATAATAAAATAAAATAAATATACGGGAGACCCACTTACTAATAAGTGAAAAAATGTAACATTCTAAAAAATTATATGAAAGAACAAAGCATACAAGATACGTCCTGAATATTTATATAGAAAGTCTTTCATTTAAATAGGGATTTATTGAAACCCAACTAACTAAAGAACGAAGAGGTTCAGTAACAGTAAAACTGTGCATCACCAAAAGTGCATTCACAATCTGAACAAAATATTCTGTGCCTCCCCATTACGCTTTAACGCCTTCCGTACAACATGCAAAATATGAAGAACGTAAATATTTGAAACCCAACTAGTAGTAAATTTATAGCATGACGGTTATCTCATACACGTATTTTGAAGTTCGTTGAAAAACGGTAGTCTTACCCAACAATGATAAGACACTCTCTGTTTGCCGTATATTTTCAAGAAATTTAATCTGTTGTCTGATCAGAATGTAACCCTCAACCCCGAAACCTGTTGTTTGTCTGGGTCATGTTATTTGTTTATTCATTTGAACACAAATATTAGTAGAAAGGGGCACCGAATACATATGCACCACACAAGTCACTTGATTTGTGCGAGGGCTGTGATACTGCCCGGGTGCCCAGGCCGATGCAGGTGGTTTTCTTAGGGGTTCACATCCGTGCCCTTCGACCTGAAGGTCTCATCTACAAGGCAGTGGAGCAACGGAAGATGCAGTCTCATGGTAGCCGGTGACCAACAACAGGTTCTCTCAGGATCCTGCAGCCCATGTGCACCATTGGTTTGGAATCAGGGTTTTTCAAGTCCCTTAGGTGGATCATCCGTGTCCACCAACCCGGTTAAAGCTCCGGACATTCCCTATTTGTCCTCACAATTTCGTAAATAACACCCCTGATGTGAGGTGGTGGTGAGCAAGACTTCCTTGGCAGTGGCTGTATACGCGTGACCATGTGAGAGCATTTAGAGAGGGAGAGCTAACTCTCTCCACCCTCGGCCGTATCAGAGCATTCGGGTCACGTATCTTATAAGAAATCCAGTACTTCGAAATTCCGTCGTAGGTTTAATTTTATGTTGGTCAGTATTCGCCGAATATAGAGCACAGGATTGTTTGGTGGACACTGGTATGAAAACTAGTAAACCAGAATGTTTTCAAGAGTGTTCCACACAACAACCTCAGGCATTACGCTTGCCGTCAAAACTATACATAATGTTACTGACACTGCGACTCTTGCTTGTGGAAACTCAGACGACATGGAACGGTTCTCGGTACTTTTTAGTCGCATTTCTTACTTCTATCTCAGTAACGGATTCAAATCAGGTCAAATGTTACTGTCACGGATCTGTTAGTCAGTGATACTTTATGCAAACAATCAAGGGCTCTTATTTCACCAATAGATTTCTTTAAACATAAAAATAATCAGAACATAGTACAAGAAAGTAACCTCTTGGAAACTAATAGAACTATAGAGAATCTATCGAAATGTAAAACTTACATTTTTTTACTAGGGTTATTGCTTCTGAATGATCACCATCTTCAAATTTCTCCAAACGTTCTTGTACTTAAAAATTTAAAATAAAATTTACATAATAAATGTGTTCCAACTGAATTATTTTTAATCGAAATCGATTCAGCTATATCATAATAAAATATGAACTCCTGAATATATTGAGTTACTAAATAAGAGTAGAAAATGTACAAAAAGAAAGTAGGCCTTAATAAATAGCATTAGTTGAGAAGTATATTTAAATATTTATATAAAATATGTTTCTATGTACACATATGTGTATGCTAATATTGTAAAAAAATGGAAAAAAATTTAAAAAATTAAAGCAAAAAACTACATATAGAAAAATACGAAAACAATTTTTTTAAAGCCAAAATTTCAAATTAGTTAATATATGAGAAATGTGTTTAGATTCATCATTCTAATAAAATAATAACTGATTTGATGACAACTTTCTTTTATTTTTGTACTAAACAAGTAAACTTAAATGAATACTGTTTCTAGCTATGAAATTGGAAAATGTGAAATTCAAAAAAAAATCCTAACGAATCTAGAGTACTACTACAAAATTGATTTTAAAAAGTTAAGAGGTAAACTGTAAGAAAAATAACTTTCCCCTTTTAATCTCATTCTGAATAAATTAAGTCTGTAAGATTAAACAGATTACAAATAAGTCAATAAGATATTCACTGTTGAATAGAAAGAAAAAAAAGTTAAGTGCTACCTTAAGTTTTTAAACATCTGGTGAAAAGTTAAAATTAACGAACATTTTACAAATGTTTGCAGCACTCAAAATAATTCAATTCAAATGAGATGAAAATGTGTAAGGGATATGAAATCATTTGAATATTTTAAAAGGTAAAGTAATAAACCGACCTGTTGATTTTTAAGCTAATCACAAAACTGGCCAAACAAATCCTACAAACATTTATGTAGAAATTCAAATATATGTAGAAATATTTGTTAGGACTTACTCCATAGCACTATTACCAACTTATTTTCCGATTGCTACCTTAAAAATCTAACTCGTTATCGATAAATATCCGAGTTCCTACGTTTTCACCAGAAATAATGAACGTACTATTAATTCTTGGTGAAGTTTGGATGACAAAGTGGAAAAATCGAAAAGGTAGCTGATCTTTAACAGCCTAAATCGGTTAGGCTGTTTTACGCAAGTAAAGGTACTATCTAACTTGGATTAAAATAGTGATTAAACTTCGGGTGGAATAAAAGCACCTTGTGTTGACAGACTGATAAATGCGATAAACACAGGCTATCATTGAGTGGCGAAGTCCAGATAGTCTGAGATTAGCAATTGATAAACGACAACGATGTGAAACGAGTTTTTAAATCTATAAATCCCTCTTAATGATTTCCCGTTTGCTGAATTAGTCCCGATTCATTAAATTTAACATCCTCTTGTCTTTATTGATTACTCTTACTCTTTTCTTTTTAGTGTTCTCACAAAAAGTAGCAATTTACAAATTAAACAAAAATATGACAATAGGGTTCACACCCAAACCTAATCTAACAAGATGGTTTCCGATTATTGTGCTGACCACTCCACTAGCCGAAGTTGAATATTAGCCCTAGAACATTGGCGATCCAAAAGATATTTGAACAAACAAAAGAATCTTAATTGGTACGAGTACAAATCGAAAATTGGATGCAACCTATAAATCTATTTTGTATTACTATGCAACTAAAATTCATGGGAAGGGATATACAGCATAAGACTAGATGACTTCTATTATTAGCAACATAAACTGAAGTAATTTAATATGTCTGTAGATGGTATGTGAAAAAAATTAAAATTCTTCCACAATTAATTTTATAAAGATTATGCACTTAGATATAAAGATTAAAAAGGTGTGATTTATATAAATGTTTATTTTTTGCAGAAATAAACCTATCTGGAGATTTCTGAAGATTATTTTGTAGAAAAGTTCAAATATGATTATTTCGACCAACAAATAATTGCATTCTTGACAACCGCCCGTAAGTAACGATATTAAATGACTTGATTATTGATAAATATCCGCCATTCCCATAATAAACTTGCCAATTTAACAAAAAGTACCTAGATTATCAACTTCGATAATCATTCAGAGCTTCAAACTGATAAGTTGTCTCACTTCTAAATCCTAATAATCAAAACGTTATTACTAGATTGGATGTTATCTTTGGGACACTATAAAGAATAATTGATGAAAAAAATGGAACACTATATGTGTAAATTAAAGATAAAACTGGTTTACATACATGCTAAGTTTTCGCTATATAACCTCCTATATTCTCGTTCAAATTCACGTTCAATTCTAGCAAAATGTTTATGAAGTCTTTGCCTGAATTCTCGAGGTAAAACAGATTCAACTGGACCAGTGTATTCACCCATTAAATGACATGTTAAATAGTTATCCTCCTCACCAACTCCATTTGATATGATAGAATTTGGGATAACATTTGTAATACATGTGGAAACAGGTGCATTTAATGTGTCAGTTGCTGTGACTTCATCTGATGGATTTGTACGTACAGCCGTAAACATTGTGTGGCTAAACCCTCTTTTACAATCACAACACTATTAAAACCTGTAAGAAGTAAATCATTGATTTAACGAAAACAGAAAAACTGAAAATAGCTAAAATGAAACAACTGGGAAAAAGTTATTTATTTATTGAATACAGGCAAACTCTGAACATATTGATCAAGTTTTTCAGAAAAGATCTGACTTTTAATAAGTCCTTCGGATTTAATTAACGGATTTTGTGAAACGTATTTTGTATATATTTGAAATATCCCTTCAAGTTCATCATTCATGGGTGCACAAGAGTTGTCAGTGGTAAGAACAATTTTCATTAGTGTAGGAGTTTCGTAAAAATGAAGACGATATGTGTTAGTAACGTAAGAAAAACGATTAATTTCATAGTCCAACGGTGAAATTTTTTGACAAAATCCTTTTAAACCAATTAACATACCACGCATCAACTTCAAGTCGTTATCAGATGGACATTCACCTTGCTTTGTTGGAGTCCATTCACGGTAATATAGGTTATCACCATTTTTTCCATATATATATAAGTTATACACCGTCATCTAAAACAATAACAATGCTAAAATTAGCATTTGATATTATTCATTTTTAGCTAAGAACACAAGAATGACCGATAAAAACTCTAGACTGCTCGTATGGGTTTTATGCGTCATTGATCCGGTCGGTAAATTACTGTTCACTAATTGGCGGCATCATTACGTTATACATTAATAGGGCACAAAACCATAAGACACAACACGAACTTTTCCCTATCCCAGCCAACATTACATGTTAAGTTCGGAAACGGTTGAGAATATGTGAAATACCTAGCTACTTCATTAGATGACAAGTCTCAGTCTCATCAACCAGCTTATCAACTTTTCTTAATAAAGTAAATGGCATATTGATAGCAACCCTTCAGTTGCCATAGAAGAGAGGAAGGTTAAGAATGATTTCAAGCGAAAAAGAAAAGCCAGCCATGTGAAGTTATCTTTGTAGGTGATTATGGATAATAACTAACTCACTAGTCAGGCTGACTAGGGGTGTTAAATAGTATGGTTTAGACATGATTTCGTCTGGTCCAACTAGTCAATCACAATATCCGAAATAAAAACAAGATGTACCCACACTCAACTCCGTAAGCATGATTTTCAAGATCATGGAATTTTTAATTCGGTAGAGACTGTCCTCAAAATAAAGGAAAACAGCAACAACCTCCTAACATAGGGGAGAAAGTGGCTAGTGTGGTGAGAATTTCAAAGAAATCCCGTCAAGACTCTTGCAGAAATTTTAAGGAAATAAAACTAAAACCAAAGTATTTCTATTGAGTTCGAAAATAACAGTCCGAAAACAGCACTTTCCTTTACATATCCACATATACGCGAAGATCCATTAGATGTTTGAAGTAGTAGAATGCATCGACAACTTCACTTATCTTGGAAGTCTGATTAGCCTTAATGGGTTGGTGTCTGACGAAATCTCAGCACGATTCGAAAAGCTCGTTTAGCTTTTGCCAACTTACGTCACCTATGGCGAAGGCGAGATATCCTTCTATCAATTAAGAGACGAGTATAATGCGTGGCAGTTCGTCCTGTTCTACTTTTTGGCTGTAAAACATGGTCATTAAGGGTAGAAGATATTCGTAAGCTACTAGTATTTGATCACAGATGTCTTATAAATACTGCCAGCATCTGCTGGGATCACTGAGTAAGTAATAATGAAGTTAGACGTAGGGTATTAGGGAATGATGGTAAATCAGTTGATGATGTTGTGAATCTTCATCGACTGAGGTGGTTGGGTCACGTGCTACGTATGCCTGAACACCGATTACCACGACGCACAATGCTGACTAGGAAGGCCAAACTAAAACGTGGCATCAGTTCTTGAGGTCAATAACTCTTGATCTGGGCCATTTCGGTAGGTGCAGACTACTTGGTTGGGCTCCGCGTGACTATCGTAACCAATGATTGGAGACTCTGGGTGACATGGCTCAGAATCCATCACAATCGTGTAGGTGTATACACTCTTTGTCTTCCCTTAAACCGTGAGATTAAAATTACCTTATACCTTTTTTCCACGAACTAATTCTTTCTGTATTATATTCTAATATGCAATCTTTCTTTTATACATTGATACCATCGAAGTAACTACTAAGAATTTGGTGTTCATCTTGTTGTGCTAATGAGGTGTGTTAACTTGGACTGATGCATACATGTGCCTGGTCTTACGTTGTAGCTGACTGACTGGAACCGATGATAATGGTCTTGTGTTAAAAAGAAGATTTCACTTAGTAACTAATATAACTTTTGAAGCAGACCAGTTGATCATTAGTGAAAAATCAAGGTTCATAATTCACCAAAACCTAAATATCATGCAAATCGTTGTTATGTTTTATTTATTGATTTTCATTTATTTAAACACACAAACATTGCTACAAGAAGGCATCAAATATATATGTGCTACATTTCATCGCTCAGTTTGTGTGAGGGCTGGAACACTGTCCCTCCATTCTCCGATTCTTAAAAATTTCATTGTTATTGTGTGGTGTATATGTATTTGGTGACCCTTTACCAATATTTGTGTTCAAATAACTGAGTAAACTTCCCACTCTCTCTAGTTTAAATTTTATCTTTTAATATACGCGCCTCTTAACAAGTTAAGTTCGAAATTGTTGCACTGTATTTTGTTACTGCCTAAAGTAATTCTGATAAACTGTGTGCTGCATTATATAAACTCATCAATTGGACTAATCTTTAAACAACCAATTATTGTTTATTTTCCCTTTCCAACCACCCTAAATAAAATTGAGTGACATATTACATATTACCCACAAAAAATAAAATGTTAAATACAAATCTTTTGCTTTAAAATTTTAGTAAATTCATAAAGATTCTTGCCACATGAACTCTGTCATCAAAAGTGTACTTTGTTCATATTTTTGTCTAATTGAGTACACCGCTCACCGAGGCAACGTTTTGTGAAACGAATTAAGAAATTCAGTATGCCTCATTACAGTATACATTTTTCCAAGTGGCACCACTTTTGCACATTATATTGGTAATTTTCGAATTTATGTTGTTTAGTCATATATTATGATTTTGCACTTTCTTCAGAGTACCGTGACTACTACAAATTGTAACAAACATATCACCCAATGTTGCTGTATAACTAACACCCATAAATGCGATGTCTGAACTTCGTCATGTCTGAACACGTACTTCAGTGTGATCAAATATAAATTGTCAATGATCTTTCTTCATTATCCTGATTGTCGTGATATACAATTGTGATGTAATATACCGAAGGTATTTAGGTAAATAAACTGTTTTGACACATCGACGAAACGTATTGGTCACCAAAATATATTTCTTGTTTTCAAGATTGTCTACTTATTCGTGGATATTTATCAACTTTTAAATGAATGAATATCGAGTAGGTAAGGGTGTAAATCGACACTATTGAATAAGCCTTAAAATTTCTAAAGAGAGTGGTAAATAATTATCATACAATTGTGGAGTTAGCGAAAATAGAATTCTAACTGCGCAAATCCTATGGATTTATAAAGGAAAACTAGAACGTTTCTGTATACTAGGTAGTACCCCGACCCAAGATCAAAAGAGCTCAGTTTTAATATCCCAAAGTTTTCGAAAAATTCCAAGTAGGTTCTCCTCTACATTTTCATGAAAATCGCCACAATCGGTTATTTAACAAATCGCCGTTATTAAGATATCTTGATTCACAACAGCCGTATATTACATTGGAGAAAGACAGTGTGAATTTTCAGCTGCCTACTGTTCAAAAAACATGTATAATGACCGCAAAGTGCCTGAAACAAAAACATATTGTACAAACCTACCAAGTAGCCCAAGCATTTAAAAGCTGGTAACGTATTGCTTTTCAATCCTCAATAAAACACTCAAACAGCCGTTAGTCATCAGTAATAAGGATAGTAGCCGAACTAAACTGTGATAATTTCTGAAATATGTTTTTACGTCAAAAACCCTGTGTCTGACTTAACATAAGGTAGGCAAACTTTGTTTGGGTACAGTGTTCTTGTCGTTGACCCCTCGATGAGAAAAATGAAATCCAATGACTGACTTGTTCAATCGAGATTTTGAGGCTTGCATGTACAAGAAACAGTTTTTATTGGGTAGAGATACTTAAATGGGACACTGAATCTCTAAATAAAGGTCATATAGCGGTAAATAAATCCCCAGGACCAATAGCTCTGTAAGTCTTCGATATTTGTTGCTGATCGCATTGGTATAAAGGACTCAATCGTTGTAATGAAAACGATTACTATTATAATTAACGGTACCAGTGATTGATTTACTGTGCCTGCTTATTTAAGTGTACCAAAAACACTCTTCCGTTGTTTGTTACTCTGCATGAACTCTCGTACGCTCAGTAGTCTTGCTCGTTGATTTTGGCACGATCTCGATACAACGAGATCTCCAACAAATACATCTTAACTACAGCCTTCAACTGCCTTCTGGTTTTTGGCCTACGGATATGTATAGCCTGGTAACTGGCACTCAGTCTTCCTGTAATAGTGATCGTAGTCAACTGCGACTCGACGCCAACTACAAGTTTCAATGAACTCACCCAGCTACAAGCACTCGTTTATGTATTTGCACCAGATCATGAGTGGGCACGCCGTACTACATATCACCTACGACCAGTCAATTTAGATTATTCATTTCTCGATATATCGACACTATATCAAATATATCTTCGAACCCCTTCGCTTCTGACTTCCAACTTTACTAAGTTGGCATATTTCGTTTATAAAAGGTGTAAATGATTAAAGCGTTGTCCAAATCCAAATACTTATGGCATCTTTAGTCACTTCACGTTCTAGAAATCGGATAAATGTTTAATTTGGGGATTTATTCACAACTTTAACTCCTAAGCACTAATTTTTAGACTATCAGTCTAATTCAAATAGAATGTTTTGTGACCCTAGCCTATCAGTTTCGGTGAATATAACCCTTCACATGTAACGTTGTCAACGAAAAAAGAGTAATGATGACATATACGTAATCAGCAATTCGTTAACGTAAAGTAAGGAGTACATGTGACTCAAGGTAGTACCCTGCGATGGGTCACCGTTTACAAGCTTCCGTACAGACAAAGTTTCGCAATCTCCCACGCTCCAGTTTCAGCCAACAGAAGTTCACCGCACAAATTAGAGACCTGAATGTGTCCCGGGTGAATCACCATAACAACTCCGTGGTCGAAACCTAAACATAAACCTTGTTCATGGGCAGATCTATATCTCGACCTATTGTCAAGTCTTCTCCTACCACTAATGGTTTAGTTTGGCATAAAAATTCGTTGGGAAAATCGTGCTGTTTGTGAGTCAAAAGATTACACGATTCAATGCAACCAGGCAACTTATCCCGAATAAATTTTCCAGCATTTTAACTTTTATATTAGGTAGACTACCAAGTCTATAGTCAGGTGAGCCTTCCCTTCCTTCCGACCCTCTGAGAGTTGAGTTTTGGAAGAATATAAGCTTACTAACATCACGGGAAATGCCTACATCTAATCCATTTAATATGTCCGAGTTTTCATATAGATGTAGTGTGAAGAACGCATCACTTTCTACTACAAATATATAAAAACTGTCGTTTGGAAAAGACGCTACTATCGTCCAGAGATTTTCTTTGTTATTGAGAGACCCAGAGATGGTCTTTTGCATATGTTCTTGACCTTATGACATTCAGGACTAGAAACCTCAAAGCCTTGAGTGAACAAAAAGTCTCAAAGGTGTTACCTACCGCATGACCGTTGTTTGTCGCGGGACGTCACATTTTAAAACCCACAATATCACCACAATGATGTGCAAAAGTGAGTTATATCTTTCATGATTATGATTTGGAGTTAGAACGTTCAGGTTTTGTGATAATGTAAGCGTTTACATTAAAGTTCAATCGAGAGCAACTTACCGTCAAAATATCAACGCGAAGTGGGAAGCCCATCCAGTTAATATACAGTACGTTAAAACCCAGGAGGAGAATGTCTCTATCAACACTACTTATTATTTATTTAAACACAAATATTGGTACGAAGGGGCATCGAATACATGTGTGACACAATTTACCGTTTTTGATTGTTGCTACCACATATTGGACTACATACAACAGTATATTTGTTGAGGAAAGTACTCGTTAAATAAACAAAACTCTATTGTCCATACAGAGGGTTTTAGACGATGCATGTCGATTATCCAATTTTCCGTCTTTAAAAATCAGTCTGCTTGTTACAAATAATGCATCGGTTTCGTATTAGCATATGTTCATATATTATTGGTATGATACATAAAATGTCATTCAGAATGGTATTTTAATGTTGAAGACAGTCATATGCACAAGCAGATAATTTGGGAATAATTACCATACACAATAGCTCATCTTTGTGCCGAAAGATTTAGGTTGACTAGGGTTTTACGAGGTTTCAGAATAATATATAGCCTTCTTATCAGTTTTAGAACGAGATGTTACATTCCAGTTGATTGTTTTTGAAGCGGACAACACAATTTTAGTTACAGCATTTACAAAATATGACTGTAGAAACTAATCATCGTTACCATAAAATACCTCAAAACGGCTGTGCCGATTATTAAGACGAAATATTACAACACTGTTTCTCACCCCTGAATAAAAGTGAGCACAAAGTTAGATTCGTTTAAGTAAACACTAAGTTACAGCAATTTCTTTGGTGCAAAGAGCACATTACAACAAACGATTGTGAGTTTGTACACGCTTTAAGAACCAGTGGATGTTCACTACATTACCCTTGATATTTAAAAAAACCTGATCTACAAGTCTCGTATAAACATGACAAAGAGAATGTTGGAAGATATTTTCTGTGTGTTACGGACAATGTTCCAACCATAAAACATGAAGTTATTAAATGATTGAAAACATGGTAACGTACACCTGCTGGGAAAAAAGTACGACGTCTGTTGGAAAGATTTTTATCTACTACCCACCTTTCAAATAACAAATCCCATGCTAATAAAGGTAGTATTTATAGAAAACAAATTTTCATTTTTTTCACCTTACAAACGTCCTTGCTTTCCGCCTAAATAAAATGCCTAATAAAAGCGACAATTTGCAGTGTAAATAGGACATCGTTGAACAACGACTTGGTTGCCAATCCAGCGACAAATCGCCTTCATCTTGGAAGATTTGACTCTAAACCTTGATTGTCTCACTATGAACCAAATAGGATCAATCGATTAAAGTCAAGCAATCAATGTGACAGACTCGTACTTCTTCCACACCACGCTACTTCCCAAATTCATTATTAGTATCATCACGTCATATTTATTCGACTCTTCATTTGGCTGACTCGCTAGTCTTTATGTACAAGTGACTTGTCAAATGCATGTGCGATCAGATTACGCGGTGTTTTTAATAGATGAGATTTTTTAAGTCAACATCATGTTCTAATTTGTTGCCAAATATTAGATATATCTTAAGTTAATACCGAAAATAATTAAGAGTGCAAAAAAACCAAAAGCTACTCACAAGTTCGGAAAGTATATGTGATGCAAGTTGAAGGCCACAACCAAAATGTTCTACGAAAAAAGTGATCAATATCACGGATAATTACCAAACAGATAAATGTGAAGTGACTGGTGATTTAGTAAAACCGACATGCGAAATTGAACCTCGTGTGACGGTTCGTTTTGATGAATGAAAATCGGTTACAAGTGTTTGACATTGACATATAGCTCTAGGTGTACGGCATATGTCTACTTATACTTGCGTTTCGCGTTTTTCCTCAGCGGGTTGTTTACATTCCTGACCTAATTCCCGGTGCATAGTTCAATCCACATCTATGTGAAAAATCCAGTAGCTAAATGCGAGTTAGGTTGGAATAGATGGTATTGTGAGTAGGTAGATTTAATGAACTATATACTATATTCCTCAGAATTTTCTAAATGAAGACTAATACTCATGTTCAGTTACACTGCTAATCAAAATAACGATGCAAACTCAGCAGAAAACATTTGCTGGACAAAATGACCAAAAATTGCTTGTCCTTGATCCAGAATTCAAATCTTGAACAACAGTGATTCATCAACCGGGTACTTGCTGGATAAATTCAGTATCGGGTTTACACTGTAAGGGTGAACGTCAATATTAGATCCAAAATTAGACTGCTTCATCATTTCTGTGCAATTAATATCTTGGTAGTCTCGTTAACTTGTGTTTAGTAATTTAAAAACAATAAAAGCCCATACGTAATAGCCACCCGAATTAGCACAGAAGGGTTACTAAGTGGCACCTTTTTTTATCTGGTAAAGAGAACTGGTAAGGTTCAATAATCAAAATGGGGAGAATAGTTCTATCAATCAAGGGACAATATCATACCCTAAAAATATAGTCCGATTAAATTTGCCTCAAAGATAAGCAATTAGCAGTTACTAAGAGTATCAACGAAAATATAGTAGTCCAATATGTTGACTCACAAAAATGCTAAGCAGGAGGAAAGAAACAGTTAATTAGACGCGAAAACACCAAACAGTCAATTATAACTCAGAATCTGTGAACATAATAAGGCTGATAATTGTAAAGAAACTAAGAACAAAATATACAACAATTCAGATAACGATAGGAGCAGTAATATATACGATGGAACAACAAGCTAATATTCGTCCGGAAAAGCACACATAGACAGATTTCTCACGTATTTATACATGGACGTATCAACGATGACATTACATTGACCGTAACAGAAAGAATACGCTGAAAATTTCTCCAGAATATTAGACAGAACATTGTTGTTATTTCTCAGTTCTTTTTCCCTGTCTTGTATTTCAAACTCCGCCGAGGTCTCTTGTCCGGGCTTGTTTGACTTTGTTTACGTATTAATTTTTCTTATTTAAATTTTCAGCTGCATGT